ATTTCTTTAGGCACACAACAGATGCACCAACGATTTTCAATAGCAAATATATCACTGTCCTACATGTAAGTGACAATCCCTGTCACAAGACAATACACACACGATGCTTTACAAAAAAAAAAATCTCAATACGAGGTTTAAGGAGTGGAGTTGTTTTGGTGAAGAGAAAAAAAAATCCTGCAACACTGACAGGAATTGAACAAATGACCCTGGGATTGCAAGGCAGTCATCTTAACCACCATAAGCTATTCAATTCCACAGTGTCAACAATGTTTACTTTTCGGAACTTCAGATCATAAACCCCATAAAACTGATGTTATTGCTGCTTCCACAAAGTAATTGCCTTTTTGTATTTATTAAATATGCTCATCTACGATTGCTTAAGTATTGTTAGTTTATGCACAACTATGTTAAACAATGAACTGATGAGATAATATCAGAAGAGCTTTGGGCATAACACTAAAATTAAGTAAACATTTAAATAGAGGTCTTATTACGTCCAAATAATAAAACTTCTTGCTTAAACGGCATGTACTGAATATAATTAAATTTGAATATATTTATTTATTTAAGGCTGATGATGATTTAATTATTTAAGCTTTCTTTAACCAGGGGGTATCCATTCAGCAACTAGCATTGCTTTTCAAGAAAGCACTGGTACATACAGTAAGTATAAAAAAAATAAAATTAAATTAAATTAAAAAAAAAAAATTATACAATCATGAAATTCAAAAGTAAAAATTAAATGAAAGCACACAAATGATTTATATAAAGAAGTTAACACTTTCATTGAATTACATTTTTCTGACCCACCACTATGGCTTTTCTAGAAATAGAATTTTTTTTTTCTAAAATTGAGCCTTTGGTTGTAAATAATCATTTCTCCGAGGAAATATTATTAGAACCTTCCAGAAAACGGATTTCTAAATAGATGGATTCTGAGATGCCTTTTATTGACTAAAACTTTCTACAAAGTTACGGAGTTTCGTGGTATTTAATTTCATTACTCACAAAAACATACAGAAGTAAGCAGACTTTAGACAGATGTACCGCTGTGAATGAACTTCACCAGAACGAATGAACAAATCTGAAGTACAGTATGTACAAAGTGCATGCAACAGTCCTTTTCAGAGTGTCAAGTTTATGAACTGAACAACCAGAAATTATCCATGGATACGCACAATCTGACATTCGTCAAACTGACATGAATCCTTGGACTCTGAGGTGCTGTCACCCAGAATATACTGGGGATAAGAGGGCACCCTCTGCCGAAGCAAGGTAATTCAACAAAAGGACGCACATCTCGGGACATCAAAGGTTATAACTCTGGCATCGACATTTTAGGCGCACGTGCGTCCCTACACGCTGAACGTCACAAA